TCCCCCAATTCGGTGTTCGATACTACTCCCAAAAATGTACTGGCTCTTATGTTTTTAAAACATATTTCTTCCTGCTGATATGAGATAATTACTCAAAAACTAGCTCGAAGGCTTTTTGGAAATCTCAGTTTCCAACCTTGTTTAAATGTAAAAACATTTCTTTAAAACTTCTTTGGGAATACATAGTTCCCTAATAACTTTGAGAAAAGAACTCAACTTTAAACTCTTTACTTTACTTGAACTCTTGGCTTGATGTGAAACTCTTAACTTAACATGAAACTCTTAACTTTTGACTTGACTTGAAACTCAATACTTAACTTGGAACTTGAGCCTTAGAATGAAGTTAAAACGCTCAATGAAGACTCTTGGAAAACCTTAAAGACTTGCTTTGACTTACTTACTTCTAAGCTTGACTTCACTTGACTTGGAAACTAACTTCACTTGAATTGGAAACTAACTTCACTTGACTTGGAAACTAACTTCACTTGACTTGTAGTTTTACTTGACTTTTGGAAGTACCTTGGAGTGTTGGAAACAACTAGGAAACATAGGTATAATACCTAGGAACATGTATAAAAAAAGAAATGGTGAATGAAAGGGAAGGATTGGTGTCCTTGGCACTAGGAGAGGTGCAACAGCCCAGCCCCTTTTTCCCCAAAAATCCGACTTTTTCCCCTTGTTTCTTTCCAATTCTAAACCCTCTCAACCTCAAGGTTTCAGCAGCAACACTTAGAATCATAAAGACCCTTATTATACAATAGATTCAACTCAAAAATCACAGCCAGAAATCTGTACTAAATCAGCAAGAACTTCAACACAACACCACTACAACTTCAACAACCAATAAATCTTCTCTTGGAATTAAAAACGAGTTGGTGTGTGGGGGTATGAACCAACCAACACTAAGGATCATAAAATCCCTCAATATACAATAGGTCACAACTCAAATACACAGCCCAATCCTGTCCCACAACCAACAATAACTTCAACAACACAACTAACAACATCAACAACAACTAACAACTTCAACAACTTCAACAACAAATCCAATCTCTTCTCAAATCATAAAAACGAGCTTGGTATGTGGGGGGAAAGGATAAACCCACACTAAAGACTCACATACCTTGATAGGGATCACCCCCGACGAAAATCCACAATGATCTTGACCAATCTTGTTGATCTCCTCTTTCTTCTCTTCTTCTTCTCTTGAACCCTAACTCTTTCTCTTTCAAAATGGGACAGAATGATCCAAATATCAGCCTAATACAACAATATAAGCTCAAAAGAAATGATTTGTGAAAAGACCAAAACGCCCTTAAATTTCCGGAACGGAATCCCTGCCAACTGCCCAACTTTCAAAGATCATAACTCGCTCATACGAACTCGGAATTGAGAAAACTCAGTGGAGTTGGAAAGATCGTTCCACAAGCTTCGAAACCATAACTGGAACTACTCCTAACTCATCCTGAGCTAGGAGTTATGACTGCTCAAAGTTGGCCAAAAACTCACTGATTTCCACACTTAGCCAAATTTCCAAATTTTTGAACTTAGCCAAATTTTCCAGATTCTGGACTGCCAAATTTCCAGATTTTAAATTTTTTCAAAAAAAAGACTATTTCCAAATTTCAAGCTTCTTCATATTCATTTTTAAATTGTCGGATGTTACAGTTATCATAGTCTGGTAGGCAGACCGTCCCTTTCAAATCCATCAAATTCAAGCTCCGAAAGTTATCAATAGCTGATGGGCAACATATAGATATAAATTTTTCATTTTCAAAGTCAAATGACATAACTCGAGGTTGGCAATAGTAAACTATTTTATCCCTTGCCAACCAATACATACATTCATTAACTAACACCCCGGGAAAAACCGGATGATATGGAGGTTGCTCTGCGATTTCTTTCCATCTACTATTCAAAATGCCCCCACTATTTAGAGTAAAAACTTCACATCTTAGCTGCGCAAGGACAACATCAACAGGAAGAGTACCGGGGGGACCCATATAGAAAAAACGCACCACTTTGTATTCCTTCTTTGAGTGAAGATATCCAAAACCAAAATGTTCATATCCAGGGATAGCAGAAGGTGAACAGTTGGGCAATTCACGTAATTGATGGATGGCGGGATTACACAAATAAATACGACAATCTGTTGAAAGGCAAACCAAACCAGCGCTTACAGTCCAGCGGCTGGAATGGATTTGTCTATCAGGATAGTGGGTGATTGTGTACAAATCTTCATTTCTTCCTTCCATGTCAAGTGAAACAAATTGTAGTTTCAACTTACCTGACCGGCGCAAATAACTGAATGTTTCCACAGAGAAATTGAGGGGCATTTTCCATCAACTGTTGTTTTTGATGAGAACGTACGAACAGGGGACTAATAATACAATCATTCCATGACTTGGATACGCACCTTGAGATGGATAATGATTTCACCGCGCATTTTAGAAAAATACAAGTTAACACATCACCAGATAGCTTATTAAATTGATCACTACTATTCTCTTCCTCCTTTATGAGGATACTGCTACATTTCTTCCTCCTTCGTATTGATATTTCCTTCTTCTTGTTAGGCTGCAATGGATGTCACGAATAAATATATCTTATGATGCAACACGGCATAGTTAAAAGCCAAAAAACACAAAAGAGCGCCATGGACTCATTACATTAATATATCAAGAGTTGTGCTTTTAAAGACAAAGTTCATTCGCAAAGCAATGAACCTACGCTTCAGAACTTGAGCACGCCTTTAATAACACTGCTTAATTCAAGTAACTTTGTCTATCAGAAAATAATATTGACTACTCATTGTCAATAATTTGTTGAAATTTGGAATGCAGATCAGTTTGATTTGTCTTACTTTTACCTTTTTACTCCATTTCCAATCCTAGAATGTCTCTGTATTTTTTCATACTCATTCTTTTATTCTTTAATTTTTTTAGGACAAGGGAAATTCGCAGCCGTACAGGGTAAAACCTAGTCCATCTTCTCAAGCCTCTCTACCATACCCTTAGAAAGTGATAACGGTGACTTCCATTACTAAATGGAAGAACTTGTCAAACTAATTGGTAGTTGTTCCTCCAATGCAATAGAAGGAAACCACATAAGAGAAGTAACCCCGCACTAAGTGCCACGAGGTCGACCTAGGTAACTTTTTAATTCTAACTAAAGGACATCTTATACATATCCGTAATTTAAGACCACAAGATTTAACAGTGTCTATATTTCTTGAATTCTTGGTCAAGTTCAAAACCAAACAAACTACTAGAAAACAACAACATACCTAGTGTGCATCCAAGAGCTTAATCTAGATCTAGCCATCATTGAATAATATAGACAACAACATAGTCAGTGTAATCAAACAAGTGGGGTATGGGGAAACATAGAACAAAAATAGTATTGTGAGTTTAATTTTTTTTTTAAAAAGTCCATTGGTTAACTTTTGTGTAAATTGATGAAAGCAATGAATATTTCATCATAAGATTTGCAAAGTAGTGAACTTTTGTGTAAAAAAATTAAAATATGGTTGACAAAAAGCAACAATTAGTTGGCAAAGGTGGTACCTTTTTTTCTTTGCTTCGAGTTACTTTCACCATTTTTGCTATGAATTGAGGGAGTGAATGAGAGAGAAAAGAGGACGAAAAAGTATAATATAGGACTTTCTAGTTTTTTTAAAAAGAATTTTAACCCTATTTAACAAGGTATTAAACCTACGTATTTTTAATAAAAGGCAACTTTTAAAAGTGATTATAGTTTGGACTTAATTAGGATCTATAGCTATAGTTTGTTTAATATAAATTATAATTACAATTTACATGTTAGGGAAGGAGAGAGACGAGCGAGACTAGAAGAGTGAGGACATAGGCGATCATAAGAGAGAGAGAGAGGGGGGGAGAGACGAACAGATCTGAGAGAGAGGATAGAGGAGAAAGAGAGAAGAGAGAAGTTTGCTATAAAACTCTCCATATAGCTATAAATTGTAATATTTTAAACTATAGTGATTTATCATAAATACATATCATATGCATGTTTGCCTTGTTGTGCAACATTCTAATTTTTTTTAAATTGATATATTCCTAATACACAAGGAGAGAGGGAGAGAGATATATGTTTTTGAAACAAATTACACCTTATTCATCGAGTGTTTTCATGATCATTAATTTTTTTTTAAGAAATATAAAATAACAATCTATTAATTTAAATTAAATGCTATAGCCACATTTTCATTTAATTGTATTCCGTAGCAAACACTTGCCATTCACCTCTTTTCCTAGAGAATCTCGGTCGCCACTCTCCCTGATCTCGCTCGCCTCTCTCACTTTATACAAACACAAATGTATAAAATGTGTTTGTGTTTGTATAAAGCGAGAGAAAACGGTATATACAAACACAAATACATATATTTTCGTCCTATACACTTATAATTATACAAAATACAGATCTTCGCCTACCAATTCTCTTTTGCCTTTATCTCTTTTTCGCTTTATACAAACACAAAATTATACAAATTACAATGTATAATTTGCGTTGTATAAAGCGAGAGAGAGATTTGATATACAAATGTTTTATTTCGATTCAATTGTATAGAAATTCAAATTTTATGCAGATATACAAACGCAATCATTGATACATATACATAGTAGTTTCATATATGCAATTATCTAACCGATATACACATACAATCGCTGCGCTTTTTATACAAACGAATGTCTGCCTGCGATTTATACAAATTTGATGCTTCATAGCAAACATAAAATTTGCTAACTATAGCTATATCATATAAATATGATTTTTATGTTTGCTAAATCTAAAATTTAAAATATTTCTGATGAAAAACTCCTATTTCAAATAGTAGAGTAACAATGTAATTGCCTTGAATGAAATAATCAACAAAAAGTTGACATGGGTTACAACATCATCACATGAAGCAAAAGAAAAATGCAATTGCATTTAACAAAGCAAATATGAGTTTAAACATATAAATACTTGAAAGGGACTTAAGAATCTAAAGAGAACAAAGTTTTCCAGTATATACGAAACAGTCCTGTCCCATGTGTTTGTCTTTCGACTTGTCTAAAGCATTTTGTTTTTAAGTCATAGAAGATGACGACCATCATCACCCCCAATTGTTGACGGAATATTATTTCTTCATTCCATGAGCTGTAAAAACAACCTAATTTCTCAGGGTCGAACCTTATCCCCAAATTGATACTATACTCCTTCGCCCAACTGCAACTTACCTTATCTTTCAGTATCCACAAGTCTAGAATTGAACTCTTGAGAAAGTTATCATAGTCTGGTAGGCAGACCGTCCCTTTCAAATCCATCAAATTCAAGCTCCGAAAGTTATCAATAGCTGATGGGCAACATATAGATATAAATTTTTCATTTTCAAAGTCAAATGACATAACTCGAGGTTGGCCATAGTAAACTACTTTATCCTTTGCCAACCAATACATACATTCATTAACTAACACCCCGGGAAAAACCGGATGATATGGAGGTTGCTCCACGATTTCTTTCCATCTACTATTCAAAATACCCCCACTATTTAGAGTAAAAACTTCACATCTTAGCTGCGCAAGGACAACATCAACAGGAAGAGTACCGGGGGGACCCATATAGAAAAAACGCACCACTTTGTATTCCTTCTTTGAGTGAAGATATCCAAAACCAAAATGTTCATATCCAGGGATAGCAGAAGGTGAACAGTCGGGCAATTCACGTAATTGATGGATGGCGGGATTGCACAAATAAATACGACAATCTGTTGAAAGGCAAACCAAACCAGCGCTTACAGTCCAGCGGCTAGAATGGATTTGTCTATCAGGATAGTGGGTGATTGTGTACAAATCTTCATTTCTTCCTTCCATGTCAAGTGAAACAAGCTGTAGTTTCAACTTACCTGACCGTCGCAAATAACGGAATGTTTCCACAAAGAGAAATTGAGGGGCATTTTCCATCAACTGTTGTTTTTGATGAGAACGTACGAACAGGGGACTAATAATACATTCATTCCATGACTTGGATACGCACCTTGAGATGGATAATAATTTCACCGCGCATTTTAGAAAAATACAAGTTAACACATCACCAGATAGCTTATTAAATTGATCATTACTATTTCCTTCCTCCTTTATGACAATACTGCTACATTTCTTCCTCCTTCGTATTGATATTTCCTTCTTCTTGTTAGGCTGCAATGGATGTCGCAAATAAATATATCTTATGATGCAACACGGCATAGTTAAAGCCAAAAAACACAAAAGAGCGTCATGGACTCATTACATTAATATATCAAGAGTTCTGCTTTTAAAGACAGAGTTCATTTGCGAAGCAAAGAACTTAGGCTTCAGGACTTGAGCACGCATTTAACAACATTGCTTAATTCAATTAACTTTGTCTATCAGAAAATACTCCCTCAATCAAATCTCAATGCACCAATATTGACTACTCAATATCAATATTTTATAGAAATTTGAAATGCTTCAAGGAAAAAGGTCAATTTGTTTTGTCTTATTTTTTTCCTTTTTAGTCAATTTCCAATCCAAGAATGTCTCTTTATTTTTTTCATACTCATTCTTTTATTCTTTAATTTGTTTTATGACAAGGAAAATCCGCAGCCGTACAGCGTAAAACCTTGTCCACCTTCTCAAGCCTCTCTACCATACCTTAGAAAGTGATAAGGGATGACTTCCATTACTAAATGGAAGAACTTTTCAAACTAGTTGATAGTTGTTCCTCCTATGCAATAGGAGGAAATCACACAAGAGAGGTAACCCTGCACTAAGTGCCACGAGGTCGACTTAGGTAATTTTTTAATTCTAACTAAAAAGACCTCCCGCACTAAGTGCAACGAGGTCGACCTAGGTAATTTTTTAATTCCAACAAAAAGGACTTCTTATACATATCAGTAATTTAAGACCACGAGATTTTAAAAAAAATATTATTTCTTGAATTCTAGGGCCAAGTCCAAAACCAAACAAACAAATTGTACTAGAAAACAACATACCTAGTGTTTATCCAAGAGATTAACATACACGACTTTGATTAATCTAGCCATCATTGACTAACATAGACAACGACATACCCAATGTATCGAACAAGTGGGGTATGGGGAAACATAGAACAAAATAGTATTGTGAGTTTACCCAAAAGAAAAATCCATAGGTCAATGTGATTAGATTATGTTTTTTTCCTCAAAATAGCAGAATTTTTTTTTAAAAAAATAGCAGCAATTAACTTTTCATGGGATAGGGCTGAGGGGAGATACAGATCACAGAGGGGTGTTCATAAATTAAAAGACTAAAATCCCATCTAGTCTAACTAATAAATTAAAATTGATGAAAGCAATGAATTTTCCAGCATAAGATTTGCAAAGCCATGAACTTTTGTGTAAAAAAATAAAAACATGGTTGACAGAAACCAGCAAATTAGATGGAAAAGTGGTACCTTTTTTTGTTTGCGTCGAGTACCTTTCACCATTTTTGCTATGAATTGAAGGACTGAATGAGAGAGAAAAGAGGACGAAAAAGTCTAATAGGCGGAGAAGCAAGTGGCGGTGGGTTCGACCTTCGGCCCAACTTCTAAGCCCACAAACCTACATTATTATTTGAAAAAAAATAAAAATACATAATTAGACATACTTTACTATATATACATATTTTACCTATGGTTTAAAAATATTACTCAAAATATCACTTTTTAATAATTATACCATATATTTTAAAAAATTAAAGAAGATACACTAATTTCTTAAATCTGGTATTGAATAATTATCTTAAAATTTAAATCCATTAATTAAATGTGCTTTAACAATTCAATCTCCTCCCCCAACCATATCTCCACCCCGTACCGTATTCCACCCTCAATCTGAAAAAGAACTCCGAAAATGGTAAAACTTTGCGCTCTCATATAATCACATTATGAATGTAATGTTGTGCACTATCTGCTGCTTAGAGTGTGATTATAGCTTTGGTATAACATTTTAGAAGGCAAACAGGCAACCACCCTTCTAAACAAGAATTTTCTATGCTTCTTCATTGTTCTCTACTTTATAGGGCATTTCTTCTTTAATTTTTTACCTGGTTTGTTTTTGTTGTTTCTCAACTATTTTAATGGCTGACTGTTCACAAAATCATATGATTCTTGTTAAAGGTTAATTCAAATTAATAGATCGTGTATCTCACCTTTAAAAATTGTTGGATACATGTATCTCGCTGTTAATGATTAAAGCCAATGAAGAAGATGAAGAGGTTAATCCAAATTAATAAATTGTGCATCTCGGCTTGGATTCATGTATCTCGTCATTAATGATTCAAGCTGATGAAGAAGAGATGAATAGGTTAATCCAAATTAATAAATTGTGTATCTCGTCATTAATGATTCAAGCTGATGAAGAAGATGAAGATGTTAATTCAAATTAATAAATTGTGTATCTCAATTTTAAAAAACCGTTGGATACATGTATCTCGCCATTAATGATTCAAGCCAATGAAGAAGATGAGGAGTACAATAACAAAATTAATTAGGTTTTTGATTTCGTTATTTTAGGAATATTTGTTAGAGATGATACTCAAGAAGCTGTAAATTTGTTGAGTTGTTACAAACTATCGGGAATCCTAGTAATTGGGATCTAAAGTAGTGAGATTTATGTAAGATGCCAAAAAACAAGGGTAAATTGCAAACAAATTTAAGCAAATAATGCTCCATAGTTATAGTTTTTCTAATTACGCTCTATGGGTATAGTTTAGTTTGCTATGGGTCATTAAAGTTGTATATCTCATTTTTTTTAAAAAAAAATTATACAAAAAAATTATTAATTAAATGAATACATGAGCACTAAATACGGTAACAAATATAATTGTTAATTAATCCTTTAATTGATGCAACAAATTCAGTTTTAAAAAAAGAAAATATCTCACGATTCATGCTAAGTGTATTTCCTTACAATTTCTTACCAAAATGGACTCTTCAAGCTATAAATTCTGCCTTAAAATTCAGATTTTTTTATTTTTACTGGGTTTTAACAATCAAAATTTGGGTTGAGAATACAACAACAAATATTTTCCGATTTAAAACTAATAATTTTATTTAGTTCTTCCTTTCTAATTGTTCATTTGAAACAAAAAAAAATTCAAATCATGAACTCTGAAATATACAAATCAAAATGTATATAATTATCATGAGCATATACAATCGTATAAGATATACATACGATAAATGCATGAGAACTATTGGTATATATACAACTGGTATATACAAATAAGTAATTATATATTTTTTCTAAAAACGACAAATACATATATCATTTGATATACAAATTAAAATGTGTATAAATATTATTAACAGATTCAATCGTATAATATATACAAATAATAAATACTAGAAAATTATTAACATATTCAATTGTATAGGATAAACAAATGATAAATGCTAGGCAACTATGTGTATATACAATTGACAACCTTTTGTATAAATGCAATTGAGATATATATATATATATATATATATACACGATAATGTGGCCCGTGCTATTATAAATGGTATGTTTTGGGGCTAATAGTCGAGTTTTTGAAGCAATTGTTTGCGTGGATAAAGGAATACATTTTTTTTTATCACAAACCTGTACTTTCTTTGACGCTATTTAAGGTATAATAAGACTATCCACATACAACATTTTTGAAATATTTTATGTTGTCAATTATCATGATTTATAGTATTTTTACGATAGATTCACTTCAAGAATCAGTGGAATTTTTTGTATTTTTTTCAAAACATATTTTATATTGTCAATTATCATGATTTATAGTATTTTTACGCAATTTTTAAATATAAAAAAATAAAAAATAAGACAAATAAATTAAAATGGACCCAATATATGTTATTTTTGTTGTCTCAATTTATGTGACACAAATGAAATTTGGAGAGTCATCCAAATTTTCATATTTTTTAAAAAAATGTTTCAAGTTATTAATTATTGTGATTTATAATATTTTTATGTAACTTTCAAATAACGTACATTACTGGTCACTTTGTCCTAATTTATGTGATATGGATAAAATTACAAAATTAACCCTTTTAAATGTCTTTCAGATATTTTAAGTTGTTAATTATTATTATTTATAATACTTTTTTTGGTAATTTTAAAATGATATGTGTTATTTTTCTGTCCCAATATATGTGGGCCTGATAAAATTCTGAGAGTCAACGTATTGTATTATATAGCTTTTAAATATTTTAAATTGGTAATTATTGTAATTTTTAATGCTTTTTAAGTCATTTGTAAATGATATATATTGCTTTCTTGATTGGGACTTTTCCATTTGTGACACATATATTTAGATATTTGGTGCCCGTGCCAGCACGGGCCCAATAAATATTAATTTTTTTGTTTTAATTTATGTGATATAAATGGAATTTGAAGATCAGTCGATTTTTATATGTTTTCTTAAAAATATATTTGAAGCTTTTAAATTGTTGTGATTTATAGTATTTTTGTGTTAGTTTTGAATAATATAGGTTACTTATGTTTCAATTCACGTGAATAATCATAAATATTTTCAGTAGTTAATTTATTGTGAATTTTAGAAATTTTGACGTTATTTTCAAATAGTACATGTTACTTATTCTATTCCAATTAGTCAACCAAATTTCTTATATGATTTAAAAATATTTTTAATTGCTAATTATTGTGATTTATATCATCTTTTATGTAACTTTTAATAATATATAATTTGTTCAAATTCATATGACAATGATAAGATTTCAAGAGTCAACGCAATAAAAATTTAAATTTTTAAAAAAGTTGTACCTCTAATATATTTTGTAGCTAAAATATACTCTCTCCGTCCACTTGTATTTGTCATGTTGAGCTTTTTGAAAGTCCATTTGACTAATTTTCAAAGTTAAATCAGATTGTATTAATTCGATATTTTTTTAAAAAAATTTAAATATGCAAAACCTATACAAAAAGTACTATAAATTGTAAATTTTTTGCCTATGAATATGATGAAAATACACATTGTAAAATATTAATTAAAATTCTTATAGTTTGACTCTAAAAAGGAAATCATAACAATTAAAATTGCATAGAGAGAGTAATAAATAGGTAATTAAATTTCAAGAAGTTTAAAATAAAAGGTTGAAAAAAATAATTAGATAGACAACATATATTGAAAATTGAAAACATATAAATAATAAATGGGCCCAAATGAGGTCAAACTTTTTGGCTAATATAGTAGTAGGTAATTAATGGTGTTAAATTGTCTTATAATATAAATTTTAAAGGTATAACCATAAAAGAACAACACTATCAAGCACATATGATCCAACACTTGTCATGTGCTAAGTAGTAGATATTCCCACTTACTATATATAGTGATAAAAGTGCATAGAGAGAGTAATAAATAAGTAATTAAATTTCAAGAAGTTTAAAATAAAAGGTTGAAAAAAATAATTAGATAGACAACATATATTGAAAATTGAAAACATATAAATAATAAATGGCCCCAAATGAGGTCAAACTTTTTGGCTAATAAAGTAGTAGGTAATTAATGGTGTTAAATTGTCTAATAATATAAATTTTAAAGGTATAACCATAAAAGAAGAATGTACAACACTATCAAGCACATATGATCCAACACTTGTCATGTGCTAAGTAGTAGATATTCCCACTTATTATATTTAGTAATATATAATTGTATATTATACATGGAAATATACAAAAAAATAAAACGACAAATACATATACCATTGATTCATCCCTATTGAATCATCAAACTTTTTTCCTCAACTTTTCCGCGTCTATGCTTTGCTTGAAATTTTTTTCAAATTTGTTGCATCTTAATTGAGTCATTTTAGTGTTTGGATTCAAACTCTTCAATGAATCTAGTTTCTTCATTCGGTCTAGATTTAATAATAGATCTTGCAATATCTTAGAATGCTTGGGTTAGATCCAATGAAAACGATGGCGGATCATCAACAAATTTGACACGCGATGGTATACCTCTAGTAATCCTCTTGGATGGAGTTCCTTCATCCACTTTTTATTTTTAATGAAAAAATCTGAAAATTTGAAGACGAAGAAAGATTTTTGAGAAAAAAAAAAGACAAGCATAAATCATATACAAACGAACAACAATAAAAAAGAGTTGAAATACATTTTGGGCAATTATCTTGAATTGTGATGCCATGATTAGGAAGGAGAAAGTAGATTTTGAAACTCAAAATCAATGTGTATGAGTAATTTTAAGAGAGAATTAGAGAATAGATAGAGGAGAGATAAAAGTAGATTTGCATAAATGAGTACTCAAAAGAAGGGAAATACTCTTTTTCTTTCATTATACAATTTGTTAGTGGATCACATTATTAATAGCAAATTATATTAAATTATAACCACACACAATAATTAATTGGAACTGTAACCATAGTGAATAATAAACTAGTAATGTTTGCCAACTCGCATAATTTTTTTTTAAAAAAAATTGACTAGTACTAGTTATATATCCCCTTCTTCTCAATTTATGTGACACTTCTCAGATTTCTATATTCAAATAACTCTATTTTTTAGCG